TTTTTTTTTTTTTTTGCAACGAACTCCTGAGAATTCCTGCAGTCCAGCGGTGGGCCCATGTCCCACTTGCAGCGTTGAGTAAGTTTCCATCACGTGTGACCAAGGGCGAGGTCCCACTAGCAACGGGATAGGATAGAAACGAGTTTGTGGGGCAGTTGAGTGACCCAAATCCTGCCGTGCAGTACTCTTGAGTGATCCCACGGTCAGTATTTTACATGTATTTTATTACCCGAAAAAGTAAGGAGATCTTTGTTCCCCTCCTCCTCTCTTTAACACTGGGCATGCCCGTGCAAAGAAAGCTTCCCGCCAGAATCTTTTCAATCGTTTTTTTTTTTTTTTGTGTGCGTGAGAGAGAGAGAGAGAGAGAGAGAGAGAGAGAGAGAGAGAGAGAGAGAGAGAGAGAGAGAGAGAGAGAGAGATGAAGAGGGCACTACCTTCTTCCCAGAACATAATGCAACCTAATCGTGACTGCACCGTACCACAAATCTATGCTCGGGGTCTCCCTTCAATTTTGCTGTTTGGCCGCTTGAATGTATTGATCGTGCGCTCTACATTACTGATTGCGGTGAGATTGATCATGCCCTCTTTCGGCGGGCGGCCTCACCTAGAGAAGGTTTCTGGGTCTGATGGCTGCGAACCGTGCACCCTTCGGGCTTCAATGCAGTTTTGCCCATGTCTCGATTACCGCCTCCTCGACGGCGGCCACGCCCCCGTCGCTGGCGTCAAGTTGGTCCTTCCTCTGCTGCTTCTCTTCATGCTGCTGTTTCTTCTCACCCGTCTCCACCTGACGTGTCCTCTCGGGCCTTCACCATTGATATTAGCCCGGGCCCTCAACTAGCAGTACGAACAACGTTACGGCGGTTATTGACATTAGGCGCAGCGGGTTCTTGGTCTGAAGTTGTTGCTTCCATTCAGCAGGCTACGCCTGCTTGGCGAGCTCGCTTGCTGCAATGGCTGTATATAAATGTTTCTAATGCAGACATGACTGCGGACGTCCGTGAACTTGAATGCCTTATTTGGCGATTTCAACATGTCCGACAACGATATACTGCTCATTCCCGTGACACCTTCGGAAACTTTATCAGGATTGTGCATATGCATGAGATCCTGAAGGCCACTAAGTTGCGCCATGTGTTGCATTCTCCGGATGTGTGTGCATTACACCCCGACCCCCAGGCAGCTAGCAGTATTCGCATCTGTGACAAACTCGTGCCCCCAACAAGGGTGCAATTTTGTAATTTTACGGAAGTTGCCTTAAGTGTCACTCCGGGCCTGTGCCAACCTGCTGCTCCTGATTGTCCTTGTCGTTGGGCGTTTCCTAACTGCACCGATCTGGTTGACGRCCATGTTGTTTCCGCCAACTATGATCTGATTCCGGATGCTAACCTTCGTCGCCTGTTCTATGAGGGCTCAAAATATCGGCTGAATGGGGTAGTGGGGGATATACTTGAATCATTGGCTGTTGGTATCGATGAGTATATTGCTGCGTATCTTCGTCCGACAGCACGACAATCCTGCGCTGCTACCCTAGCTCCGCAATTGGCTCTTTGGCGCGCCGCAGTTTTGCGTCACTGTGAGTGCAATATGGCTGCCGCATCACCATTGCGACAGCCTCGCTCTTTGCGGCACGCGCATATGGCCCTACGTCAGCTTCAAGAATCCTTTGCGATTGTTCCTGTGGACAAAACATCACATAATTTGGCTATTTGCTGTAAAAATTGGTACAAATTCAAACTGTCAAGCCACCTTGACAGTCCTACGTATTCTCGGCCTGCTGAATCAGCGGCCGACATTCTGAATAGCCATTCAGTTTGGAACAATCATTGGAATTACCCTCTAAAGGCCCATAAATCTCCTCCCACACTCTGTCCTATTCTTGGTATCACTGCCCGAAACAATCTCTTTCTTCTTCCTCTTCTCATACGGCCCGGCGGAGTGACCTGCACCCTTCCCAACGAATCCAGCGTTTGCATCACTGACCGCCTCACAAAGCCCGTAGCTAGTACAACACCTACTTCGGCGTCATCCGTAATCTTCGCGAAAAAGATAATCAACTCTTTCAAACCAAAGGTATTCGACGATGTTGGATTGTCCAGAGCAGTGACGAGGTCATGCTTGACCTCAAAAAGAATAAAGTTTTTCTCAGAGGTCTGGCCCCGCATACGGTCGATTTCACTACTATGTATACTAATCTTTCTCATCAGCGAATTCTTGACAATGTTACTAATGCCGTTGATGAGGTGCATGCCTATGCTCTTGCACAGGCACGGCAGCATACACAGACACGCTCATCGTGTGTTGCTCTTCGTATGCTGGTCCGTGGACCGCATGCAGGGGAATGGACTACGGATACGGGACCTGACACTCTTTCTGTTTCTGACATTCTTCAACATCTTCGGTTTATTGTTACTAATACATATTTGTACACAGCGGATGTCGGTATCCCTATGGGTACAAACGCTGGTCCTGAGATTGCCAACCTTACACTATTGGGATGAGGCGCAATACGTGGACAACCTGCAGCGTGTGGATCCCTCTGCTGCTCGCCGATATGCTTTTACATATCGGTTCATTGATGATGTTCTTACCTTTGATTGTCTACCACCATCATCAGCCTATTATGGTCTTGAATGGAAGGAGACCACTGCGGCAGATGGCTCGTGCACCTTTTTAGGTGCGAAACTGCAGACACGAGCAGACAGATCTCTCAGATTGAGTGTGTTTGATAAGACYGTTGCATGGGATTTTCCTGTTATGCGATATCCTAGTGCAACGTCGAACATCCCATTTCATCAACCTGCAGGTGTGTTCACTGGCCAGCTCACGCGGTTTGAGCAGATTTGTGACAATTGGCGTGATTTCAAAACGGCAGCAACCATGCTTGTCCGCCGTTTGCTCTCGAGTGGTCATGCTCCGTCAACACTGGCCCGTGGATGGACTTGTTACATTCGWGCTCGCCAGCGTCGACATCCAATACATGTAACTCGCCTTACACAATGGTTTCGACGTATGCTTCGCTGGTCCGTGCACCATCCTCTTCCACCCTCTCCTCCCCTTTCCTCCCCTTCCCCTTCTCCCATCCCCCCTTCTTCTCCCC